TTGAAATGTACGTATACTGTATTGAATTTTGCATTTAGCAATCAAAGCACAATACTTAAAACCAGTGCATGTATCAGAGTGATGTGAGACAATGCAGCAATCAGCTGGAGTCATCGCCTTTAACCAATCAACATTATCCAGTTTGTACAGCACTTTTATAATTATTTTATAAATGTTAGGGATTATATGAATTCCATTTACATGGAGAACACTGTGGTACTCACAATCTGTGATACTGTTTTGATACAGATGTTGGGTTTTATTAGACCATCAATACAATATTTACCTATACAAGGAAGGTGTATTGAGAACAGCGTCTGATCCGTATAAACCACAAGACTATAGCGACACTACTGGACATCTTACAAATCATTGTTTACAGGTATTTAATAAACAATTCATCTAACAAACAAATTATTATTATTGAGTCAGCCATTTTGAATGTCTTATCTATTTATAAATATTGTGTTTTTGTTTTTTCAGTAATAAAGAACATACATTTGCTCAATTTACACAGCAGTATTTTATCAGAGTAAAACTATTCATTCTCCCACCAATTAACAGGAGATTATTTCTTATGTGTTTATATGGTTGTAGTTTAACGTGGTCCAAAGTTCGCTCTGGTTTGTTAGAGCTATTAGCTGAAATAGCACCCTTGACTGGAGATTGTCATTTAGATAGTAAGGCCATGTCAGGGCTCAGTCCTGATGAGGTTTAACCCCAAGGGTTTATTTGAGGCAAACATGGCTTGCATTTAAAGGGCGGTGGTCGTCGAGCCGCGTTCTGTTCGATATGGGACACATAGCGGCGTGTACAACGCGTGTAAAATACATTGTTTATTTACATAAAATTCAAACGCGCACTGCGTGATGACCACCACCCTTTAAACAGTAATTTTTTCTGTCTTGAGTTTTTGAACTTTTGATAAAATGCTGTTGTGTAAACGAAGTTAATTGACTGGGACTAAACTACTATTCTATTTTCTGTTAGGAAGCACTGTCACCTAATTTTGGCAAATATGAAATAGGCAATGAAATGTTTTTTGATGAATTTAACAGGTGAGTTAATATAGTGCTGAAGATTTCAAAATTTTGTATATTTATTGTATATTTATTGTAATTGACAGAACAGGACTATATAAAATTAATATTTTCAGACTTCTGCAAGATATGAGTTGCCACAGTGTCTGGAGGAACAGACTTTGTTGTAATATTATGATTAAATGTTTATAAACTACATATATCAATACAGCAATGTAGCATAGCAGTTCAGGTAGCAACACTACAATGTTGCTTGGTGGGTTGGTTAATTAGTTATTTTTTCTGGAAACAGTAATGGTTTGGATTTTTAGTCAGATGTATTGAGACTTGTGTTTTGAGTTCCATCCATCCGACATAATTTCAAAGATTGTAGATTGATCTTTTTTAGTCCCCGTTTGAAAACAGGGACTATTAATTTAGGTTCCGTCTGTCTGTGCGTCCATCCGGAGCCATTTCTCGGACACCCTTTGACCGATCTCGTTCAAACAGACAGGCTGCCATTTTGTTTGATTCCTCCATAAGATATGGCCTGATTCAGTTCGAAGTTTGAACATGGGTATTATACTTCAAGATAACACAACACCTGTTTTGTTTTGAGATTTGATCAAATTTGTCGAAATATCTTAAAATCACAGTCTGTAACGTGTTCGGAACTGTTTCTCAGTGCTGAATAAGGCAATTTCAATCAAACTTTGTATGAGGATCATTACGTTACACATATTTTTGTCAAAGTTTGGTCCAAAATGGCGGCCATTTTTTTCTTCCTTTTTTGTGCCGATTCCTGTGAAAGATATGGCCTGATTCACTTGAAAGTTTGTACATAGGTAGTGTACTGCAAGGTAACACAACAACATGTTTTGTCTTGAGATTTGATCAAATTTGTCGAAATGGTGGCCATTTTGTCAAAAAAACGTAAAATATCATTCTGTAACATGTCCGGAACTGTTTCTTGGAGCAGAACAGGGCGACATGGCCTGATTCAGTTGAAAAGGGCATTTTCAATCAAACTTTGTATGATGACCTTACATATTAGGTTACGATGCAAGCCATATTTCTTTTGGAGATACTTGAACACTAATACCCGGTACCAATAAAACCTGGTGTGTTTTAGTGGTTGTCATGACGAATCATATATTTGATGGAAGATGTACAATGTGTGTAAAATACATTTCCAAAAATTTGTTGCACAACGACCACCAACCTTTCAAAAACTATTTGTATTAGTTATTTACAGGACAGATACCAAACTGAAATGGAAGAGAGTTTAATACCTCAGATAAAAGAAATAATCAAAGAAAGTTTATACTCCGTCCAAGTAGTAAGTATATATACACCATATTTGTTCTATTGGATTTAAACATTGTGAACTGTAATTTTAAAATATAAAGTATTTTGATTATATACATGTCTATGATTTGTACATTAGCGAATGTGCTTCTAATAGAGACAATATGTTTGCCAAATTATGAATAGTTGCAACACTAAAACATCCACAACAGTGGTGTTAAGCCAAACACAGAGTACTTTTACCCCCCCCCCTCCATTGTTTGCTTAACAAGTCCCTATGTGAATGACTCTACAAGGTTATTACTTGTCTACACAGCATATCAGTACTGAAGGGCTCTCCTATCACAGCTTTCAACTATTTGGTTTTGATTTCATGGTCGATAGTGATTTCAAAGTTTGGTTAATTGAGGTGAATGGATCGCCAGCATCTGCCGAGTAAGTATATTATCGATAGAGAGTTGTGACATTGATGTATCATACTCCTTAAACATTTTTTTCACTATTACTGTATATACCGGTAAACACGTCTAGAACATTACACATGGTACAGTGCCATGTCTCCTTAATATCACATTTTATTTATATACCGGTTATACATTAACAAGTTGTCAGCGATAACTATCAGTAGCTACACATTTTGATGTCTAATTAGCATTTGATTTGTAAGCAGAATTTCAAATAATTCTATTTTTTGGCAATTGGATTTGTTCATTCGATATCTTCCTGTCCAAGACTCCTGATATTCCTTGAGCTTACTGATACCCATAGCACCAATGGCTGGATAATGTAGAAAATTTTGTGTCACTTGCATCAATCAACTCTACAAAGAGGTGAAATCAAGGGATAACCATACCACTATTCTTTTCCATTTCAGAAAATTGTTACCAGGTCTTTCATCTGCTATTGTTACAGTCGCTATAGATCCTGTTTTTCCTCCACAAAATGAATCTGAAGACAAGGAACAGACGCTATTCCAGAAGTTGAACTGATGTCAAAATCACGTTTACTTCCGTCCTGTACACCAATATTTTTTTTTTTTTTATAATTAAACTGTTTTGGTAACTGGTTTACCAATTTGGGTTTTATATCTAGTCTGAAGTGGATCCTTTGGTCGTACAGTCCACTATCTCAGTTGCATCTGTTCAGCGTTTTACTGTGGACCAGTAAATTAAAATCAACAAAAAATAATCACACACAAATTAATAAATTAGCCTTCAGTAAATTATTTATTACTCCGATAATAAAAGTGCATTTTGTACAAATAGTGATTTCAACAAAGCCATCACTCATTATTAATAATTTTTTTTTTTTTTGGGGATACATTGGGGTGAAAACGATAGCTCAGTCATTAAATATAAATTGTATTTAATATGGGAAAAACACTGTAATGCCACAGCAACACCCAGGCCAATTCAAACTGAATCCAAATTGTCAACGTTGGATATCAAGTTTTTTTTTGCCACAAGAGGGCAGGCTTCATGAGCATTTTCTGGGCCTGCAATGCATGAATTTTTAAAGTACTGGGTTATACAGTACATTTTATATATCATATGTACTTTGATAATGTAGAGATGTTCTTGATGTGATTTAGTCAGATTATTATCAAGTAACACCATTTATAGAATTTGATATGATTGTATTATTGAAGGGTATTGTTTGATTTCTGGAAAATGTTGGAATTATTATGATAATACATAAATGTAATAAAAATGGTGAAATAAACATAATTCAGAATAAATACTTTACATGCAAATGAAATAGATAAATGACCTAATTTATTGCTACATGTCCATGGTTTCAACGTAACATCTGACTAGCACTGATGTGTCTAGGGATACTTGTTTCTATTGTCTATGGGAAAAGCAACATTTTGAAAAGGATTTTCAATGTAACTGAAAATGAGTTGTACAAATTAGAAACGTTACCGTGCCATCAGCCACTTGCGGTAAAATAACCAATATTTTAATATGACCAGAATGATTGTAGCAATTATGGAAAACAATAAGACTAGATGCATGAAGATAAAAACACACTGATGTGTTTCGGAAATGTGATTGCTTAACTTGAGAGAGAGATAAGTTATATTGTGACAACAGAAATGTGACCATGTTATTTACGAGAATCATTTCGATAGACAAACAAATGATGCAAATTCAAAGGGGTTATATGTCGTGGTTATCTTAGATCTGAAGAATAAACTTCAACCTACAGCATAGTTCATATTCAAAACATTAAATATAAAATAATGGATTTGTTATTAAAAAAAGTGTGACAATGATCTGTGATGAATAAGCGAAATGCTGTATTTTGAAAAAGGTATGAGATATTTTTTTTATACTGTGACAGCTGATGTGAAAGTTCTAAAAGCGAGTCGCATACTGTGTTGTGGGATGTGAAAGAGAGAAGCCAGCTCTCAATGTGATCCAATGTCAATTGTACATTTTTGACTAAAGTGATAATGCAACTACATTTTTTTTCTTTCTTTTCATAACCAAAATGTCTTTGAAATCTACAAAACTATCATTTACAATTACAAAAAAAACAAAAAAAAAACTGGAAGACTAATGCAGCACGGTGGTACTGCCACCTAAAGGCACTTTATGTTGTAAGTTAATTATTAATATATTTTATCAAAATTACAATAAATTCATTATTGAGAGGCACTTCTAACACTAAAACATGTACAACTGTATTTTCAATGCCTTTCAGATTAAAAAGAACCACAGTGTTAAAGAGAGGTCAACTCTGTGATAGAGGACAAATAGGCAGCACCAGAAAAAACCCAAAACCATATTTAAAAAGTCCCAGAAGTATACGAAAAAAGATTGCATATTATTTTTGTTTCTAGTCCATATAGTACGGTAAACACCCCGTTTATTATAGCAGACTGGCACTTTGATTTCTCCCCTCTACACTGTTCCCGATGTTAAGTACACTGTACAGATAGATTTATAGCATAGATGGTGGATCCCCTCTAACTTAACCATGTGACTGGCACCCACGTTGGTTCTACTTGTATCCTGTTAATCTCACTAACAAGTTCATTATAGGCTCTGTCAAGGTCAGAGTTGATGAGCACATAGTCAAAATAGTGTCCATGTGTGTCCTCCATCTCACGACCTTTTTCAATCATATCCCGGAGCTCCTCATCCTTTGGAGAGAACAAACGAACACATGAGGCATTATTATGTAAACCTTGGACTTCCCACATGCTGGAGAGACAGGTTTTATACATGGGCATGGGTTGCATAAATGTGTGAGGACAAAAATGGTTTCGAGTATTAATTTCATTAACAAGATTACTCTTTACCTGAAGGTGATGTTTGCACGCAATTAGAGTAGCAAGAAAGTTCAGTTTGGTTCAGTGATGTCATATTTCAAGATAGCGCCCTCAGTGGCAACATTTGACAAAGCTCAATCCAAGCCATACAAATTTCTTCAAATAAAATGTTACGTTACCTTGAGGTTTTCTCCAGTTTGTGCTTTCATACGTCTAAGTCTATCTAACGACGGTGGTCGTACAAATATAATATAAGGCTTCAAGTCAGAATTCTTTAATATTTTTAGTGCCTGTGAAAAAAATTAAATACACAAATATTAAAACTAGAAAATAATAATAACACAAACATGGTGAACTCAAAGAGTATATTCAACAGCGCCAGCCTATGGATTGTGTTCAACATCAAATAATTCAAATAATGAATTCAAAGACTCTGTTCCAATAAACACTAAGTCTCTATCAATTGAATAGTAGAAAAATACAATTTTCCCATGTAGTGTCAGCGTTTTCTATTGGGCAAAGTTGCGTGATGTCTAGTCCAACTGTACACATGTTTTCTGCATAGCCACTAATTCCCAACTGACTAGATCACTAGATCAAATGACCCGTAGTTGTTTCTAACAGGTCACAAGGTTGAGAGAACAACATCTCAACAACAATATTCTTTAAGTCATGCACAACAACAAAAACATGATTTTTTTTCATTCAATCGTAAAAGTAATTATTTAACTATAATAAGTTGACTAGAAGCAAGCGTTACTTGGCATTCAAATGTCTAATGATTTTTTTCTGAATTTTTATAGTAATCAGCGTCAGTAACTGGATACCAGTCACATTTCATTACTGATGGCATATACCATAACACAGCTGATAACATTATCTGCTGAGCTCTACTTTTTTTTTACAAAGAAAGTTAGGTACAATATCATAGTTATCATACACCAAACAACTTTTTTTTTTCAATATAGCAAAAATAGTACTAAAATCACTAACTTTTGAATATAATTATTATTATTAGATAGTAGCTAACTCTTCTTCCCTTTAAGTTTGAAGTGTTGGTCCTCATCAGTTTCAAGGGAGAATTTTGCTCGCCTTTTTTGACCACGATAACTTTTCTGATTTGGTGAGCAAAATTTTGCTAATTTGCAAACTTGTGCTCTTCAAATTTTGTTCACCATTTATCTAAACCCTTTTTATAAGTGGATGCACAAACACAAACATAGCAAGGCTGCATACTTACTTGTGGGTGTAAATTCAGTACACACATCTTGCCTGAGGATACAACATGTCTTATCGCTTCTAAGCTAGTCCCATAAATATTTTTTTCAAATTCTCCGTGTTCAACAAATTTCCCTGTAAGAATATCTTGCTCAAATCTCTGTTTATTTATAAAATAATAATCCTTTCCATCCACTTCTCCACTTTTCTTGCTTCTTGTAGTGTCTAAAGAAAGAGAAAAACACCAGTCAGATATTCCACAAAGTCAATGCATGGCTTTCACTGACAGCAATAGAATCCACCAGTGTTTCAAAGTGTTTTAACATCATTGAAGGTAGACCATCAATTACACATTACAACTGATGGATAGAATGGACATCTGTTTGGGGTGAGGGTTGGTTTCCATAATCACATCAAGTATTTTTCCATTATTTTTCTTTAGAATTTTATTTTTTTGATAAATCAAAGCACATGATTTTACAAATCTATGATTTGTCAAAGAACATAATTTTACAAATCTGCGATTTGGAAATACATGTCCGTAGTGCTTTGGTCAATGTGAAATTCCCCTTTGAAGGTGTTAAAAATGTGAAATATCATCGTTTGATCAGCTTGGCTTCAGACTTCTGATGATTTCATTAGATTAAATTCTAATAAACCAAATTTTAGACAATTTACAGTTGAGTATGGAAAAGTATGAGCACAAACTGGTCTACAAGGTTCATAAAATCTCAATCATATAATCTTAGTTTGCTATTTCAGTAATACAATATAACACCAATGCATTGATGGCATATACAGACACCTATCAGACAGACTCACAGTATATAACATCACAAATAATACAACAGACTTACGCGGTATTGCAGCAGCAAATCTGTCTGGATCATTATCCAGCAATCTCTGCCTAAGTTCATGTCTGCCAACATTTGTAGGACCTATGAGTACAATGGGTCGCTTTTTATTACCCCTTGGTTTAAATAAAGATACTTCTTCGTATGTTAAAATTTCCTCCACATCATACTCTGAAATAAACAAAGAAAAAAAATTTATAATCAGCAGGTATATTGAGAAAAAATTAATTAATTTTCGCTATTTTCGCTGAAGGGATGATTCCGTGAAAAAAAAATCCAGCGAATATACTTTTTTCCCTATATTTCACATTAAACTCATCTAAAATCAGTGAAAATAAATTCCATACAAAATGCCCAAAAAATTATTTCCAGCAAAAATAAAGTATTCCACAGTATTGTATACGGAATAGGTTAGATGGTATAGCCGCACACACACTCACATAAAATTAATTTGTGTTATTTGTAGCAACTAACCGACAGAGATTAAACAGATAGCTATTTTTCCCAAGGCATGGTTCAAGTATGTGATTTTTAATATACCGTATTTATCCGGGTAAGAGCCAATGCCTGGGCAAACGCCCACCCCCCACTTTTGACACAATAAAGGAGTTGAGGTCATATCCGGGCACACGCCCAGGGGGTCTTTTTCTACAAAAAAAAAAAACATTTTCTATTTGTTGACTGTGGTTGTATTAACAGTTGACTTTCTTGAAGACTGTCGTGATACTTATAAACAATGTTAATTGCGTAAAACAAGGGGTGAACGCAAAATAGCTGTGACAGCTTTCTGCCTTCAGGGCAGCGCGTTCTGAATCATAACAGTCAGCAAGTCTATAAAAATATATATTAAAGCAGAAACGGTAGTTCTCTTTTTAAAATATG